AGGTAAATCTTTTTTTAAAGTCCTCTGTAAAATGTCCCAAAAGAAAATAGCGTTCTTACAATCAATAAACACATGTTCAATGGTCTCAGGTTTGTTACACAGGAGACAGCTGCTTCCCCATGGTACATACATCCCTCTCTCTTCAAGCCACGTTTTTACTGGCAAGGTTCCCGTATGAAGTTTAAAAAAGAAGGTTTTCACATTGGGTGGTATACACATGTTTTTCACTCGCTTTAGTACGTCATGACCATATGATTTTTCATACCTTGAACGGTACAGGGGCACAGGAAAAACATTCTGTATTAGGTCTTTCATAAGGCGCTTTCTTTTCACATTAGTTAGGTAATCTATCGAAAACCTCGCCCTTAAGAAACGATATGAGAACACAACTTCGCGCAAGAACGGTGACAAGGTGTGTCGTTCTCGCCTGTCTGAAGATACAAAGAAGTCAGGCATGTGGTGTAACAGCGTTGTTTGAAATAAAGAACGTAAAAAAGAGTCTCTCTGGTCTCTAATGAGCAGGAAACGTGATATTACTTGGTTAAGAAACAGATGGCACAGAGACAGCCCTCCTTGCTTAACTCGCCGAAACAAGTTCGTTCTAGATGTTCTCTCCCACGTAGAGCTCCAGATGAACGTGGCGAATATCCTGTGGACTTTGTGAATGGTTTTACGCTTACAACTAAGTACTTGCAAAAGGTACATAATTTTAGCAGCCAGAAACACGTTGCATACAGCTGACCGAGAGAAAATTGATAAGCCACGACCGCCCCATCCTTCGGCGGTCGCGCGCAGTTCTTCAGCCTTTTCAAGCCAAAATGCTTCACTGTCTTGATACCTGTCCAATGGTACCCCTAGGTAACGACTAGGCGTCGTGAGCCACTGAATATTTCCAAAAGAACTGGGCGTAAGGTCCCAATTACCATGCCATAAACCAATGCTTTTTTCTTTGTTCATTAAACTTCCACTCGTGTCACAAAACCTTTGAGTGATTTTAATAACGAAGTGACACTCTCTCTATCAACTGCAAAAAAGGCAATATCGTCGGCGTATGCCAAAACACGCACTTCACATGACTGCAACCTGAAACCATTAATCCCTGCATGGTGAATCACTTTCTGACACAATGGTTCCAAAAATAGAGCGAAGAGCAAAGGACTTAAAGGACACCCCTGGCGCACGGAGGAAAGTACTTGTATGCGCTGTGAGAGTTCTCTATTTACAATTAAATTTGTGGTTGAATTTTTATATGCCAATTTAATACCTTTACATATGATCGCACCAAGACCAACGTACTCAGCTAGCATGAAGAGTATATTGTGTGGAACCATGTCGAAAGCCTTGGCTAGATCAATTTGCAACATAGCTACTTTTAGAAGCGCAGCGTCACAATACTCCAAAATGCTCCTGGCAACATGAATATTCGTGAATATGCTCCTACGCTTGATGCCGCAAGTCTGATGTGACCCGACCAACTTGTATATAACTCCTTGCAACCTCCTAGCCAGAACTTTCATAAACACCTTATAATCTACGTTTGTTAGCGTGATTGGCCTGTATCCTGTCACTTTGCGTAAAACATGTTGCTCTTTCCCTTTAGGAATCAGCACGGTGTGTGCTCGATTAAACGATGGAGGCAGAGCTCCGCGATCTAAAGACTCTGAAAAAACCTCATGCAATGCGGCGGCCATATCCTCTTTGAACGCCTTGTAAAAGGCGGCAATAATGCCATCTGGACCAGGTGATTTGCCCATGCCGAGATCATCGATAGCCTTCTCAATTTCCCCTATACTAATAGACGTTTCCAATAAATTTGTGTCCTCAGCATTAAGTGTCGGCATTTCTATCAAGAACTCATCTACAAAACCCGGCTCCTTTGGTTCGCGATAAGCAAACAAGTCCTGATAATAGTTTTCAAAAGCTTTCATAATATCTTTATGTTCTTTCAATATTTTACCATTCCATTCTATCTCTAGTATGTCGTGAGCTCGAGCATATGCCTTTTCATCTGACAAGGCTCGCTATGTCGGGGCTTCACCCACGAGGTATCTCTCAGCTCTTGCTCGTATAATTGCGCCTTTATATTTATCTTCTTCAAGACATTCAATTTTGTTTTTGACAACCTGCAGTTGATGTGTGAATAAGCCCGGGTTTTCTGCTTCAATATTCACCAAATCATTTAGCTATGCCCTTAGCTCACGTTCCTGTTTTCGAGCTTGATACTGCATGTAGCAACCACACTCTATTGCATTCATTTTTATCTTTTGCTTAAATAATTCCCATCTTTCCGTGGCACTCCTTTCTGCGTTTTTGAAAAAATTCTCGATTTCCTTCTTTGTCTTATCTACAAACCCTTCGTGCGTAATTATCTTAGTATTCAGTTTCCATGTTTCCCATACAACCTTCTTTTTGCACTTTCTACCTATCTCAAACAAAACTAAGCAATGATCACTGAAGGAAACAGCATAAACGTCATAGTTCTGACATAAAGGTACTATCTCAGAACAAACATATGCTCGATCTAGTCGTGCGTGACTCGAACCTTGAAAATGTGTGAAGTGCTGGCGACTGCCACCCATCGCAAACAGAGCTACGTCATGTAAAAAGTACTTATTAAGGCTGTCTCTAAGCAAACCAACGCTTTCATCACCTAATTTAGCAGTATACGTGCAATCTTCTTGGGTCAAAACACAATTGAAGTCACCCAACAGAATCACACATTTCTGACATTCAAAGTACGCTTGCATTTCCCGAAAAAACAAACATCTGTCTCTCGAATTTGTAGGTGCGTATACACAGATAACTCTAAATTTAGTGTTCCCGTAACAAAAGTCACACAAAACAAAACGCCCATGTAGGCAACTTTTGACCTCTTCCACTACAATACCAAGAGAGTTCTTGACAAAAATAATACATCCGGCTGATGCTCCCACTGCATAGCTCACACACGCATTGTACCGCAATGAAAATTCTGCTACCAAGCTATCAGTCGCGTCCTCAGTACTAACTTTAGTCTCCTGGACCGCGAGCAAGTCAAGGTTTTTTTCTTGCATCAAGCGTTTCAACTGGTACTGTTTGCGACGCGTTCCTAGACCACGTACATTCAGCGTACCAATGCGTAAAGGCGCAGTCATGCTAGCCATGTTGATGACAAAGATGAAAACTACAATGCTGCGCTTACCGTGTCTCGTATACCGTGCAGTGGGAAAACCGGGGTCTTACGCGTCTAGATCCTGTCCCCGAACCGGCGACGATGACGCCGACCGGGTTTCGAGGGCATATTTTTTACTCTTAGCGCCTGTGACGCGATGCCACAGACGCTCCGGGCGTTTCAGGTTGCGTTCCGTGCTCTCCACTCGGTAACGCCTGCCGCATCCCGTGGTCGCTTCCGGAGAATTTGTGCTTGCTTCTGGCGTAGCGATCTCGCCACTGGTACCCATATCTTCCTCCATCGATTCTTGAATGTCCTGCTGGCCGCCTGTTGCGGCCAACTCCTCGGATTCTTTCGTTGAGTCTTTGCCATCTTGCGTTGTCGCGTCGGCTGTCTCTTCTCCAGTTGCCTGAACCGTGGCGTCCGGTCCCACGGCGTTGCTGCCAGGGGCCACCTTTTCAGCCTCTTCGGCGTCCATTAGATTATCTTGGGCGTCGTCTGTTGGCAGCACGGTCTTCGTAACTCTGGCATAACTCCTGACGCAATCTTGACTTTCATGTCCAAACGCTCGGCATACACCACAGCGGGGAGTCTGGCAGTCTCGTCGTATATGTCCTTGCATGTGACACCTTAGGCAAAGCGGTGCCCGACCCGGGGCCACAAGAAGGACGGTGCCCCCTCCAATCTTAAACAGGTGCGGCAAGTCTTCTAGCACCACGCCTTCCTTCAGTTTCAGTCGCACCATCCTCGTCGTCGATATCGCGTGTTCAAAGCCCGCGACGGTCCAGTTGTCGTTGGAAACCTCCAGAACTTCACCAAACTCACCTAACGCTTGTCGAATGCTCTCATTCGAGACCGCAAAGTCAACCCAGTGGATTTTCACGGTTACATCATGTTGGATAGGGTCGATGATAGCACAGAAGCCACCCTTGACTCGGAGTCCACCTGTTTTGAGTAATGCATCTTTGTCATCCTTGCTTCGCATCTTCACCAGCCAGATGTGATTCATCTGGAAGGCTCCAATGCCAGTGATCGCCTTGATGAGTCCCACTTCTTCCAACGGGGCCCGAAAGTCTTCCAACCGGTATGGTCTTTTTTCCAAATCCCCGTGCAGAAACACACACTCTTCCATACTGTCACCCGACGGCAATGTAGGCAACAAAAACCGGTAATCCGATGGTGCAGAAGGGAACCTAACACCGCGGCCAGCAGCGGCCGCCGAAGCACCTCGCACGGAGCGAGCCATCACACGTCCGTCTCCCACCGAAGCCGAACGCGGAGTGTGACTGCTCCATCGAGAAGCACGTCCCCGAATGTTCAAACAGCAAGCTAGTTATATCTCTCACGTGCCGCTGCTGACGGGCATCTCGAGAGAATTGTGTTTTCAGCTTTACCAGCAAGATGGCGCGACGAGCGTGCGTCGCCACATTGCGTGGCGGCGAGCGCTCTAATCTCCCGTTTAGAGCAGGGGAGTGACACTTCCTCGCGCGCCCTTATTTCGTGGTGAGGAGGAGGGGAGGATTGTACATCTTTGCTTATCTTGGGCTTTCGACAGAACTATTTTGTTGTAGTTACCGGGTGCACAAAGTTCCTTGCAATTATTGAAGTCTTCATTTGCGAAAAGCACGCTGTTTTCAGACACAGCAAAGTAACAACTGAGGCACTTATTCACATGCATCTGTACCTGTGTGTACGTTTCGTGAGTCATTCGTGCGTGAGAAACACGGGGCACGTTTCAATCTGCTTTGCATTCTGCGTGTGATCTTCCAATATTTTACTATCGAGCTCGTTACTTCGCCTTTGCGGCAAAGCTGGCACTTTTTTGTAAAACAAAAACCAACAGAAATGCTAGGGGGAAACAAGGTGCTTTTCAGTGACTTTATTGTAGCCGAAATTGTACAACATTCATGATATGACCAGTGTCAGTGAAAACAGTGGGCGACGGCTCACTGGGGGGCGCCGCTCGCCTGGAGAAGAAAAAAAAGAATTGCTAAATCAATGCGACTACGTTTACAAAATACATACGAATCAACTACGATATATTCAAGCTTCTGGAGGAGCTGCGTGAAAAAGGTCTGACGTCAACGTGGGGTACCCTTTCCTGTTTATCTACATGTCTCACTTCAGAGTAACCGCGTTTTAACAAAGGGGGTGAGCCACTTGGAACATAGCTCGAACTCGCTTCATGGCATGGCTTCCCCGGGCTTCGGGGCGCTCGCTTTGCGCAAAGCGTGAAGTGTGTTCCATGGACCACATTTACTGAAATCCAGGCTGACCTTGTGCTAAGCCACTGCATCAGGTAAAAAAAAAATTTGGATACAAGTCGCTATCATAATTTAGTAGATGACAATAGCCGTGGAAAGCGAATGATTTTCAGTGGAATAAAACAAAATGAAAACTCCGATTAATGTAAAGTGCACACATAATTACGGGTATTTAACCTTTGTCGGCGTTTTGTTTGTTTTATTCCAATATGTTTGCCCTGACAGACGGTATTCCGTCGTACCATCAATGATTCTTATGTGTCTCGGACCATGAATGATTCTTATGTTTCTCTAGTAGCTACCGCGTTCTTTCACTGCTAACACTCCCGTAATGACACCGGGCATTCGTCGCCTTTATGCCTCACCAAAACTGAACTATATAAAATAAACAATGACTTTACCAGCACTGCAAGCGGTCAGAATTGCGTGCCGTGACAGCGAGCCCTAATGCAGTGCCACAGCAGATAGTTGTGGCTACATCTCTATGCTTTAGCGTTGGTGTTTGGCGAAAAGTCTTCAGTTTAAGTATCGACGGCTTCTTACAATATCTGTAAATACGAGCCGAGGTACTGTGGTTTCCCATCACATCTCATTAAAGAAAGATCTGCCTGGATTTCAATAAATACAAAGCATAATAGCCTCTATGGAACACATTATGACCGCAGCTATCATTCTGACACTAAAGTTTCATGTCACATTCACATGCACCACTTTGCCAATCGTGGTTAGCTCACAGAGCTGATACGGCCACTCCTATCAGCACAAAATGCCAACATGATATTCTCGAAGAAAGTGGCGCGATGGCCCAACACTCGATGTCACTACAACAACGTAATGCGTGCGCGGGTGCAGATGGGCAGTCGCTGAGGCCTGGTGACGTCCCGCGTAAAGTGGTGTCAGGGAAACACTTCAGTTGGTGCCTGCATTACCAAGGACCACGTTTTCAGGCGGTCATCAAAACAACGTTGGCATCTTTCCATCAAGGTCAACAATCGCAAAAAGGTTCTAAAAATAGCATTCAACGGACAAAGGGAAGGATTCACCTCTCTCTTTTTTTCATAAGCATATCGACTGTAAAGAACGTTCCTTGATCATGTTTTTTTATTACCACAGTTTATCGAGTAACATTGTCTTCTTAGACTTGAGTGTACATTGTAAAAGAATTATTAACTCTGTAAAACTAGATTGCCATACTTTGTTCCTTGTTTGCAATATTGATGACGAAGCGCGAACTATGCCGAATCAAAAACAGACTGTCTGAGCTTTTGGCAGTTTTCTATCTTTTTTCATTACTAGTTAAGTATTATTTACCTGTTTGAATATAAAGTACATATATTAGCAGCCATGAGAGTTTTTACGTCTAAAGTAAGATATTAATAGATGTGATAAGCAATGCTACTAACCCCTCCCCCTGTATCGATGTGGGCCACTTGCCTCTTTTGTATTTTCCTTTTTAATTTCTGTGCCATATGGCTGCTTATCTTTTTCTTCTTTTTATACTGCAGATTAACTACAGATTTTTAAATAAATAGTTGCTAGGTCTAAACAGCACGTTCTGGGTAAAAATTATAATGGCTCCTACTTTGCGCCAGCAGTCTCTGGCGCTTCGACATTTCGTTGACTATACAAGTGGGGAAAGTTTTCTCGAACTGTCTTTTCATCTAGAAAATGACTCGCCTTTCACTGTATGTTTGAAGCGGTCGATGATACATTAGAACACGAAGATGGAAAGTTGGTAGTTTAGTTTCCCATTCCCAGAAGAGATCGAGAGATAGATTCTGCTCTGAAATTCTTTTACAGTGCGTATCGCTACTAACAGTGCACAACACAACTACAGTAGATTTTTGATATCACACACGCCGTTGAATGACAAGAAGGTGTTACGAACACGACTTGTATATCTACACAAAAGTAACAGGTAGCTCCTTTTTTACGTCGAGCGCTCGTCGCCAAGTTCTCTTTTTTTAATTTCTCATTTTATAGAAAAAGAACATATTTAAGATTAGCGTGAGTGGGGCGGGGTTGCCAGAAGGCAATGGAGCTATCCCGATACTTCAACACATTTCGGTAGGGTAGCTTGTATACAGGCGAACGAGGGAAAGGGTTTTGACATTGACGAAAATGTTCGAGGGTTCTAGGCTGGCTACAAGTAAGAGATCGGGTCTGGGACAATCCGGAAGATTCGGTGAAGAGTTGTCAGGGTCATCGACGAGTCTTGGTACAGGGCGGGCATTCTTCACAGCATGACGCTGTAAAATAACAAGAAAAAATCAATTTATCACACGTGTTTTCATCGTTGCTCTCTAGTGAGTAATGAGTTATTTTCACTGTTCATCCCAAATATTCGTCGTTAACAGCTCACTATGGTGTTCATGACGAAAGAGTTTATGCATAAAAACGTTAATAGCACAGTTCGTGCACGAATGAAAGCCACATAGAAAGGTAAGAGTTTCGGGACATGTTCATATTGTAAATAGAACATCACAGAATGACTTTGGCAGTTATTTTATTAATCTAATGACCGTGGCGATGTGATAAACAGGGCTGGTGTGCTGACTTTGACAGCACTTTGGGCTACGGGAACAGGAATTAAATTTTTTTCCGATGAAACATGAAAATACTTTATGCATTCTTGGCATATTCCATAACGAAAGGAATGAAGATAAGGGTAAAATTGAGAGCACGTTGTCTTTCTTAGGCACGGCGTTATTGAAAGCTAACCGACAATAATGCCAAGGAAGACAGAGGGGATGTTATGAGAGATAGTTGTAATGTAATTGTGAAGAAAAAAAAGTGGGTGAAAAGATAACTTGCAACCGGCAAAATCCGAACGTGTGACCTTCGAATAACGCGTCCGATACCACTGCGGTGCTGTGGCGGTTATTTCCCCATCCACATTACTGGGTAAATAAGTGCATTTAAACAAGGGAGTGTCAGTCAGCGCCACCTTTTGCCATGGCGGCAAGTGTGGAACACTTTTGGTGCTTGTTTGGCGTCACGAAGTATCACGAGATGGCAGCTGACCAATACTACGTCGCATGCCACCTCAAGGCATCAAGCCTGCCAGAACAAGACCCTGGCTATGAAATGAAATATTGTAAAATCAAAGGCTCGTTTCCTTTGGCGCAAGAATAATGAAAACTAAGAGACGAAAAAGCCGGGGAAAGTAGAGGAAACGAAATATTATCTGAATAACATATTTCTTTCTTAATGACACTTCTTAACAGTTTCATTAAAAACTTATTCAGTTTAAATGCAAAACATTTATTTGGGTACTGCAGACACTTTGATAATCTATCTATCTATCTATCTATCTATCTATCTATCTATCTATCTATCTATCTATCTATCTATCTATCTATCTATCTATCTATCTATCTATCTATCTATCTATCTATCTATCTATCTATCTATCTATCTATCTATCTATCTATCCGCTTACATTTGGGTGCTCTCGTGGTCACCCTCTCAACTTGGCGTGAAGCGAAATTAGCATGGGAGGGTAAGATGGTTTGACGAATATGACACGCTTGTCAAAACATGAATAATATTACAATTCCGTCACGCACGTCGTCAAACATTTCCCGCCTTACAGTGACACATACCCATGGGCGCTTATATATATGATTCACCGGTATGCGGGTATGTTCAATAGGTGATTGACACTTAGTACCTTAATTAATATCCGACACTTAATTTTAACGCTCGTGCGTTAAGATTGTTCATGTGAAAGAAATACCCGACATCGGTAGCGTCGACCTGACCAATGCAAAGAATAAATGTCAGGGTCTCAGCTGAAACCAAACCCGATAATTTTGTGTGGCAATTAAGCATTTTAACACAGAGCTACGCCAGGTCTCAGAACTACTTTTCAAGTAGACGCTAATCTTCGTGAAACGTCAATATTGGCTGCAGTTCTGCCTACCCCGTTTTATAGACATTACACATGTACTCCTTTGATGCAGACGTCACATCGGGTTAACGTCCACTGTGGTTAGTTGCCATGCGCTGAGGTTGAGTTTTGTAGCAGCGTTCAGGGCCAGCATTCTCGCGAGCATCAACGCTTCATATCAGCTTCTGGTGTTGCTAATACGCATGTTCTAGGTGTAATTGTTGTGCAAATGCGAAAAATTTCGTCGACCTACGCTCGAAACGTTTTCGTCGGCCTACGTAGGTTCGTCGACCTACGCTGAAAATACTTAACATCATCGGGACCATTTCAAAATGTCCCACTCGAGGCACACATGGCGTCACACATTTACCATAGTTTCTCGAATAATAAAGCACGGCTGTTGATCATATTTTGTTTTAGACGTTATCAAATATTCAGCTTTTATCGCAACGTAAATTTTTAGTTGTATATAACGCCACTGTAACAAAGATTCGTGAGAATTACCTTCCGAAAATTGTTATTATCGATGGCGCAGGTGATAAGTAGAATACTGCAACATTTTTACCTTAGGACTTCTGAGAGGCTTTCGGTACTTCCTTGTGCTTGATCACCGCGGGAATGGTCTTTTCTGTAAAGTAGTTTTAAACCGAAAAAGTTTGGGTCACAATTTGCATTATTAACTTTTGATGGATAAAATGTACATTGGAAACAGCCACAGATCTGGAGCTTCACTACTGTACGCGTATATCAATGACGTTTTAAAAACGTAGTCGTAGGTCAACCCCCCCCCCCCAAAAAAAAAAGAAACAAACATACAAAGTTCTTGTTGCTATAAGTATCGTGAATGCGGAAACTGCAGCTAGTTGTGAGATATGTGAGGCTTGACGAAAAACAATGAATAATCTTTCTAATAATAAAACTAAAAAAATTATGTGCTGAGAATATTGCTCAAACATGAGAACACAGATAGCCTAAAAATAAATAGGCAGTGACATATAAAAAAAATCCATGCTATTTCTTCGTGACATCACACTCTGCTCATCCTCCCTCTGTGCATAATGCCATCTGCCAGGTTCTCTTTATCACGCATGCGCATAACAGTGATTTTTACGCAGCTGTAGGTCATTGGCGGCCGATCATACGTAAAAGTAGACAAAGTATAATAAACAGGTGACGAAATTTTGAGATCACAATTCGGCACTAGCCTAGTGAGAAGATTGCGTACACAAGTGCGACCAGCCAACTTGTCTCGTTGGCTCTTGGCACACGGCGCTGGTAATCTATGATAGAACACGCAGGCCGCCTGCCTATTTCCCATTTGTAGGATAGTCACCGCGCAGTCCACACGCAGCCACACTTATCCGAGGCTGAGTAGTGGAAGACAAGCTCCCTACCTGCTTGTAGGCAGGCAAAGACTGACTTGTAGTAGGATTGTGCAGTCATTCTTCATTATTATAGCGTACGCTATTTGATGTATGAGCGCTAAAAAGTAAAAAAAAATAATACAGTGAGAAAGTTCTTTGTTGAAAGGCAGAGAACTTGGCCGGCATTTACGCAGAGTAGCGGCTGACTCTGCGTGGGCAGAAAAGGACTGGACGAGAGAGGCGCGATAAAAAATCTAGTTAGAAATCGTTAAATTAACAAAGATGAGTACATAAAATATGACTATTTTTCAGGCTCTTGGGAAGAGACGTGCGCTGTCAGATTTTCATTGCGTGCATGCAAGGTAAAATTTATGTTTGTCTAGCTGACCAATACGACCCAAAATATCTAAACGGCAATTTCATTGCACGGCTGTGTTGCGTGAGCCAGGCTAGAGGACCTAATACCCAACCAAATTATAAAATTCTCGGCGTGATAAAAACCCTTCGCTGTTCACAGAAGGCGCGCTACTCGGCTTACGCTCGACGCTCATAGAATGTGCATTCCACGATTTCGGTTGAGCCGCAGTTGTTGCGGTTATGGACTTGCCGCTTGACCTAATCGTACCGGAAGCCGATGGTACAGATGTCGAGAAATTCTGGATGAGAGCCCTGTTCAGATATGTTCATCGGCTGAGTAAAGGAAATAGTAATGAAGTGTCTCGGAACGTACTTGCGGCTTTGTTTATTGTTTTTGGCTTCCATTTTACATTTTAAAGAATGGAAGACGAAAGTAACAGGACACAAAAAAAATGCAGGAATGCTAAGCAATCTAGAAGAACCGGTATGCTCCCCTACACTGGGGAAAGGGATGAGAAAGTTTTAAAGCTGGAGAGAGAGAGGGGGGAGCACACACACAAAGCCACACACCTCACAGCCATTATAATCACATCAGTATATAACCAATGGTACAAGTCTAATTACTTTATGATGTTCAGCACCACCTTCATCGCCTTTACCCATAATAACCTCTTTATAGAAGAATTGTGAACCCTTTGAGCTTATTTCTGGTGGGGTGGGACTGCTTAACAACTTCGGCTGCAGACAACACGGAGCCAGAAGTACGAAACTGCCCAGCATTCCCGTGCTGACTCTATAGACAAAATAGTGCCTGTTTTTCCTTTAGTGCACTGTTATAAACTGTGATTGTAAGAAACAGCTTTGGAGCTTTTGTGGATTATCAAGCATTATGCATGAATTAGACTATACATTCAAAATATCAGTTTCTGTCTTCATGGCTTACTCTTTTCCTCTCGGAGTCGAATGGTGGCATTCCTAACCCTGGCGTTGGCTAGCTTGGCCGCCTGATGCTCGGTCGCCTCAGGAAAGAGTCGCTGGGGAAGCTGGTTTGCCATCCTACTGCTGTACTGGGCACTGGGAAACTCGCGAAGCATATCCACCAGGGCGGCGAGCATAATGTCTGGGGAGGGGGGTGAACAGATGAGAGAGGTGACACACTGCACCTTCGTTTCACAAATGTAAATATACTGAGTAACCCTGATCATCGCCATGGTTATCATAATTGTCATTCTCGGCCTGTGTTAGTCCACTGCAAGACGAAGGCATCTACTTACGATCTCCAGTTAATCCTATCTCGTGCGGGCAGACTCTATTTCATCCCCGCGAATTCCCTAACTTCGTCACTCCATCTAACTCTCCGCCTTCCCTGTCTGCGCTTTCCATTCCATGGTGATCATTCTGTTGCTCTCTTGGTCCACCGATTGTCCGTTCTACGCACTACGTGACCAGCCCAGGCCCATTTATTTTTTCTGTTATGTCAGCTATATCTACAACTCCTGTCTGTTTTCTTACTCATTCTGCCGTCTTCCGATCCTTCAATGTTATTCCTAGCATTCTACGTCCATTTGCACGCTGTGTCGTCTTCAGCGTTTGCTATAGTCGGGTTTTTCCATCTTCATATTTTATTCCAATACGTAAGAACTGGCAGTGTGCAGTAGTTGTAGGCCCTTCGCTTTAATGGCAGTGGCGGATTTCTTTACACTCTTGGGAGAGCCAGCCCATTCGTATTCTGCGGTGATTTTTTTGTGTGTGTCATTAGGTTTTTCCGGAAGTACTTGTCATATGTACACACATTATGATGGACACTGTAATGTATGGTTTTCAATCTTCAATTCTTTCTGTTTTGCCACGCCATTCGAAGTTGTCTTTTTTTTTTTTCGCCAGATTCATTCTGATGCCCGTCATAATACTTTTTCAGTGCTATTCCTCAACAAGTTTTTAGAATTAGGTGCAATTGTTACAGAAGATCATGGTGTCGTCTGCAAGTCATATATTTCTAAGCAATTTTTCGTCAACCATAATTCCTGTTTTCGATCGATCTAGCTGTTTAAAAACTTTTCGAACTGAACAACTCTGCACTGCACAGCCCTGCATTACACGGACACCAAAGGCGAATATAAGACAAAGTATATTGCTCTAATAGCTTTCCGAAAACCTCGTAATGCTTGTTACTTGTGAAGGAAATGCTAGTATTGAAATGAAATCGTGCTTTAGTGGTCCGCATACCGTAAGCACTCTTCAAAATGTTCGCCTTTGAGCACGGACTTCTGAAGTGTCAGCAAAAAGGAGCGGGAGACATTGGCGAAGCACAGCCCGGCGAAAACGGTATTGGCGTGGTTCTCAAGATTAACGTCAATAAGTTCGTTTCCGCATGAGTCAAACTGAAATTCACTAGTATTTTATTCGGGCTTGTGATGCACTAAAGCGTTATTTGCTCTCATAAAACTTTTGCGTTTGCGATTGTTACTCCTATACGTCATCTAAATCATGTTCTAGAATGCCACGCTGGTGGCGCAAATCATGTCATAGGATTACCTTAATTTCGCGATTGCTAGAGCCCTGCTGCATATAATATAGACGTATAGATGTTCTCAAGCGTTGAACTCTCACTCTGGTAACAGCTGCTATTCACTTAGAGTGTCTTTTCAAAACAGCAGCACTGTCGTGGAATCACTGAAGCGCAGAGAAAAATCTCAAAGAGTGTGCAAATGTATTTCTGTCAAGAAAGGTCATACAGCAAATTCAAGGAGGACTACACGCTTACCGAGGACCTTCTTTTCGACTTCACCAGACAGCTTGTTTTGGGACACCTCGGTTTCCACAAAATTGGCAAACCTCGCTAAGGCTTCCTCGGCACTCTGATCCCCTGCTAGAAAAAAAATCATTTTTGAACGAGAATGAGCTGTGTGCCTTTTTTTTAGCAAGGATCTGATTAAAACAAAATACGGGCAGAAACTCCTTATTTGAGAAATGTATGATCGTGAGAAAACGCTACACCGAATTCTTTATGTGGCCTGTATAATACGGGTGCATAACGTGCACTTTTAATTGTGATCAAAGCCAACCTGGAGCGGATTTATTGATCGCGATCAACAATCGTTGCTGCTTTGGGGTTCAAGCTAATGTGCATCAAGCTTGGCGCAACCGTAGGTTAAATTGTGATCTGAAAGCCAGATGCCGATCAGCAGATCGTGACGGTCTTGATACTGATCGGGCCTGATGGCGAAAGTGACTGTGTAGCAGCACCTGATTCCGATCGGACCTAGTCCTGTTCGTGATCAAAAGTGTCCGTGTGATAAGTGCAGTGGCCGACTTTTTTTCTGGTCTGAGAGTTGTGGGAAATGTAAGCGTTTGACACACTTTCGTAAGTGAAATGAAACACTCGAAATTTCTTGTATATCTTTGCTATCGTCTTTGGTTACGTCATCACACTGTTACGCAAAGAATGCGCATAGGATTTTCTTTTTCTCGGAGGCACAAGCGTAATATTGGTGTCACACGGCACACCGCAGACCACGATTGAGCCCGATAGGGACCAAATTTCTCAACAGCGACAGGCTTTTGCCTGCAGCTTGCACCAAAAAGCCACACAATTCAATCCGGATCGCGATCAAAGGTGACCGTTTATGACTGCTGTAAGAGCAGGCGCCGCACCTAAAGCGCCTAATCGTCTAAGTCTCACCCTTGACGATGCTGTGGGCAAACATGTCTTTTGCGAGCCAGTAGATGATTTCCTCGAGCGTGTACTCATCGTACAGCGATGAGCCGCGCAACTTCTTCAGCGCGCCCATGACGTCGTCTTCGGCCTGGTGCTGTGCCGACCGGACGCGCTGCTCTTCGCCCAGCCGCTCGAGTTCCAGCACGCTCAGTTTGCTGGGTGCCATCCCACCAGGTAGCCTATCGCCGCCGCGCTTCTGGGCGTCTGTACCACTTGACGACCCCGAGGCCTGCGAGGTAAGGTCAGACCACTAAAATTAATTGTTACTTTCGGTCTCAAGAACCAAGTGTGGCCCTATAACACTGCCGGCAATCCAGCTCCTTGCAGCGTGACGACATGCTGCCAGAGGAGCTAAGAGGCCACGAGGTGTAACAGTATTTTCTTGGGGACAGTGTGGTGTTGCGGTTGTTGAGCCACCCTCAGAATCCTGTATATTCATTAATTTGTCTAGTGTTCTTGTCACTTCAAAGGCACTTGTGGGTTTGCTTATTGATGTGATCTGGCCTTTATTTCGACTAAAGAATATCCTAGTTGGGAGCCTCGTGGGCTGATCCGAGTTTCTCAGCCTAAAAGAGTTAAAGTGGTGAAGTGAGTCTGCTGAACATGCGACAAAGCGGCTGCAGGCCACGGGAGGCTGAAAGCAAGTCCTTGTACGTATTACGGTGTTTCTTGAAGCACCACGCACTGCAGCTCCCATCGGCATTAGCGACAGGCTTCCCTAGAGCACTATTTTGAAAGTGTATGGAACAAGGTGAAACAGGTGCGTTTATTCACATCTCTTGTCACGCGAAGTTCTGTACAGGAAGATATTTCACGAAAGGCGAAGAGCCGTACGTACCGTATAACTGTTTTGATTTGTGTAAAACCGGGTGAAGTGCGGCAAAAAGATGACATTGTGCGTCCGTCGTGCTCGCTTTCGCTGACCCTCGCGATTGGCCTAGCGCTATCACAAATCAGATCACGCGCAATATATGGTTTGGTTATGTGGCCAAGCTCTGAAGTATGAAGATAATGAAGCTACAATAGATAAAGCTTGACGAGGAGTTTAAAGAACAGAAGAAGCCGGAAACCGGATCCAATTAGGCATGAGAGAAACTTTGCACAATGGTTTAATCGGGTCATAACGTCTATGTGCCGCTATGTGGTATTTGTTCTGATACCAAAATTTTGAATTCTCCGAAGGATTTCATGTTTACTTATGACTGAAGGCAAGAATAAGTGTATTACTCTGGTTTCTAAGCAGGTTTTCCGAGTGAACTCGATCTGTGCAAGTCACAGCGGATGAACAAAAGAAAAAAGCAGCTTTGCTGACGGCAGCACGTCAAATACGCAGGGTCGAGTGCGCATCGTTTTTGGGCCCACTTTATTATTCGTCATCTTGTAGGGCGAAGATAGAAGAAAAAAAAGGGAAGCGAGACGTAATACCCCATAAGTTTCAACAGTAATGACGCAAAAATATTGCACGAACGTAATTCCTTGTAGCACTTTGATTCATCAGACCCCAATGTACTTACATGGATTAAAGAATTCCTCTCTAACCGCAGCCAGTACGTGACAGCTAATAATTTTTGTTCACCTAATTCCGCAGTATCATCTGGTGTACCGCAAGGGTCCGTTTTAGGGCCACTCCTTTTCTTAATTTACATTAATGATCTTCCTTCTTGTGTTTCTTCTTCTACTGTCCGACTCTTTGCAGACGACTGCGTCCTCTACCAGAAAATAACCAGTCATGTCGATCACCTTAACCTTCAACGCGACCTAGATAGCATATTCGCATGGTGTAACACATGGTTCATGACACTTAACATATCTAAATGCAAGAGCATGCAAGTTTCACGTCGCACTACCACCCACTGTCCGCGTACTTATTCCCTCAATAACATTCCATTACCATCTGTTGACAATTACAAATACCTTGGTGTTCACATATCTTCTAATCTTTCCTGGAATAAACACACAGAATATGTGATTAACAACGCTAACCGCATGCTTGGTTATCTGCGCCGTAACTTTTCCTCTGCGCCATCGTCACTCAAGTTAACACTGTATAAAACATTGGTCAGACCAAAATTAGAGTACGCATGCGCCATATGGGACCCAACTCATGCCATTCTCATTCAATCTCTCGAAACCACTCAGAATCGCGCAGCACGTTTCATTTTATCGAATTATTCACGTCATTCCAGTGTCACATCCATGAAGAGCACCCTAAACTTGCCTGATCTTTCATTGCGCCGCACATTGTCTCGCCTTAACCTTTTTCACAAAATCTATCATTATAACAGCCATTTGAAGGACGCCCTGTTTCATCCACCTCGCTTCATATCACCAAGGATGGATCATCGCTTTAAGGTGGGCCTACCATCCTGTCGCACCAGACTATATAATGATTCATTCGTGCCAAGGACAAGCGCCGCCTGGAACCACCTTCCCGCCTCCATCGCCTGTATAACGGACCAAAAAGACTTCAAGCTCGCCATACATGATGCCCTGTAGAATTTTTCTTTTTTTTCCTGTTTTCTGTTTTTTTTTTTTTTAACTTTTTAACTGCACTTACGATTGTTCAAACCACTCCTTTCTGTAGTGCCTTCGGGCCTTGAAAGTACCTTTAATAAATAAATAAATAAATAAATAATATGCCACACTGCACTGCAAGGAGTTTAAGGTGTTTATTATTTCCCAATTTTTGTAACCTAGACTATAGAAAGCACTTTTCGCTCAGCAGAAGCTGTTGCAGCTCTGCGGAAATAGCTGTTTGTCAATGAAGATTTCTGGGATCCTTCTGTAAGCAGCAAAATTATGCAAAAAAACATCAAATTCTAAAACTTATCGTGCCCAAGGTTGTGCTGTTTTCGCATATGGGTAGATTAATTCACTGTTCGACTCACTTTTATTCTCTGAAACAATCTCCCAGCCCCGCCGCGGTGGTCTATTGGCCAAGATACTCGGCCGCTGACCCGCAGGTAGCGGGATCGAATCCCGGCTGCGGCGGCTACATTTTCGATGGAGGCAAAAATGCCGCAGGCCCGTTGCTCAGACTTGGGTGCACGTTAAAGAAACCTAAGTGGTCTAAATTTCCGGAGCCATCTACTACGGCACCTCTCTTAATAATATGGTGATTCAAGGACGTTAAACCCCATATATAAATCAACAATCTCTCCGACGAGAACCAAGATTATCCAGGCAACTACAGCAGCGTAGTTCGCTGGGAAAGTTGGTCACGCATTTGCAAATAAAATAAAAAATAGCACGACACACGAAAGATGTGGTATCACGAAAAGCTGAATGATAAGCCAAGACGATACTTTGCCGGGAAATATTTTTGATGGATTTTTATTATATACCGATGATATCATTGACATCGCCCCCTATACCAACACATTCTCACCTCATAATAATAAAAGAACAAAAGTCAGTCTACTTTTCGCACACTCACTCCACAGCACATCACACAATGGACGTTCCTGCCGTCAGGCAAGCTCATAGTCATTATATCGCGTTGGCATTCTTCGTGTTTCTTCCGGCCTGGTGCGTGATGGTGCTGTGGTTGTGGCCAACTGCGACCGAGAGATGTCCTGCTGATCGGGAACCTCTAACGTAGGCCCTATTACTGATGGTGTTGTGATAGTGGGCAACTGCGACCGAGAGATACCCTGATGATCAGGAACCTCTAGCATAGACTCCGTTACTGTGGCCTGTGCCCTGTCAGAAAAGGCAGCACTTCCCTGGGTGTCTTCTGATGGCCCTGCTCCCGCTTCATTCATGACGATAGTGTTTTCGCTCAGCCAACTTCCTTATGTGACAATCCAGGTCACAGGAAAACCCCGAGGCTGCACTGCGTCGCGCTGTAACCGCGTCGGCTAGAGCTTGTGCCTAGAAAGACATACGATCGTCGTCTTTTTTAGTCTACCAAGAAATGTGTGCGTGCGCCTTGCAGATGTGCTTAGAGGCAGTTCCGAAATCAGCGCGATATATAGGAGTGTGTCGTGAGAAACTACACTTGCTTCTAAAACCTGTCCGGAACTCTTGCGAGTTGAACGCCTCGGTATAGACCGGGTCTTCCACAGGCTATAGTCAGCGCCCGCCCTTTCTTCGGTCACCGAGATGCCTTGCGGGTAGCTGATGTGGCAGCGAACCTTCAGCCCCGATGTTCGTTTCTCTGGAATGAGTCAGGGAGACTTCTGATTGCGCTTCACGAAGTCGCGATTGGTGGACATGTAATCACTGTTCTTTTTCTTCTGTATCAGCATTGAGCACCCCGCTGGCAGCCGTCACAGTACCAGGTAGCCATCTCTCTCTACCGTGGTTGCACCGGGAGGAAACAAGCAGGAAGGCGTTGCCCGGGCCGTGATACTGACAGTCTTTTTTGTGCTCTCTAGCTCCGGCAAATGAGCACTCAGTCTCTTTCTTGGTTGGGCACCTAGCAATATCTCTGCGGGTGATTTGCCGTTCTTTACCAGCGTTACTCTGTAACGAAGCGAAATTTCGGCAAAGGGACATTTCAGCGACCCAACTTTGTTCTTCATTAGTGCTTTCTTGACAGTGTGCCCTGTTTGCTCTGCTGCTTCATTCGACTGTGGATAATAAGGGGTAGTTGTCACATGACAGACATGGTTATACTGTAATAATATCTTTGTCCCCACTCTAGTGAATTGGGAACTATTATCGGACACAACTGTACGAGGCAGGCCGAAACAACTGGAGATACTCCCAAGGACTTTCACTTTGGTATCAAGCGTCGCTGTTTTAAGTGGAACTGCCTCTATCTATTTCATACCTGCGTTTACCAGCACAAAGATCATGTGACCTTCCACTGGGCCAGTGAAGTTGACAGTGTAGTGGAGCAACAAGCAGTCGAGACCAGCGCTTGTCCGTTTGAGGCTAGCTCGAAGGAACCTCAGCCGAAGGTAGTGGCAGACATAGCACACAATGTAGACAACTTTTTACCAGGCTCCGTATACTGTGGTCCAGAGCAGGATGCCAAAACAACGCACGTGCAAGGCTCTTCAATGCCGTGATGCCCGTATGGCTTTCCTGCAATTCTTCTTACATGTAAGAACGTGATCTCTCCGGCAAAATGACACGGTAAACTCAATAAACTAATCCGTTGCTCACTGTCAGCTGATTTCTACGAGTAAAGAAAGGTCAGGAATACTCTTCTCCTGCCCTCAGTTCACATGGCCAGCCCCGCAGAATCCATTTCATTACTTGACAAAGCACCCATCTTCATCGGCGTTCTCTGATGGCTTCTGAGGACACAGAGTACACTCGTTTAAAGCTTGCGCCTTAAGCACGTAATCTACCGAAGAATTTTCTCCTATGCTTTCTTGATTCAGGCAGAGGTAAGCGGCTGAAAGCAGAGGCATTACGTACAGCTGTCCTTTCTGGTATTCCAACTCGTACTGATACCATGACTAGAGTAATACCCAGCGTTGGATCCTTGCTGCTGCCATTTGTAGATGGGCTTGCGCGATCGAAAAGCCCGTTCAATGGCTTGTAATCTGGTTGCCGAAAAATTGGCAGACCCCACGTGCAGTGGGAATCGACGATATGCGAAACACGAAGGAAGAAGGCTGATATCTTACTTCAAAATCAGCACAACGTTACGGTGTGGACATAAATTATGCCGTACATGAGTTTCATGTAACGATTATCAAGTTTGGACGTGTTCTTTGCCTTTGTCATCTATTCATGTCACGTAATACCAAATATGATTTGCGCGGAGCTTGCAAAACAGCCGCGAGCACGCTATGAGCGTAACATGTAGTCATGCTTTACATGACACGCATGTCATGATTATTATGTTTGGAGGTGTCATTTACCTTCATCGTCTGTTTATGTTACGGTATACCAGACTTGGTATATGTGAAGCTAATAAAGCGGCCGTGAGCGCACCATGACCGTAGCCTGTGGTCATGTTCTTACATGGCACGCATCTCATGTTCATCATGTTTCTCCTAGTCGTATACCTTCGTCATTCATTCTTGTTCCGTAAAACCAAGTTTGGCATATGTGAAGTTAGCGAAATGACCGTGAGCGCACAATGACCACGGCGTGTAGTAATGGCTAACATGACATGCACGTCTGCCTGACATACGAAGAGCAGTGTGCACGCACCGTGCACCTAGACTCCATTCCGCAATTAGTCCAATACAGACCACTGTGACGTCTGTTTTTTTTTAGGTGTATGTTATAGAAACAAACTATACATTCAATATCCCGCCAACTAGGCCAGGACGTAGTTCTTCTCACCCCCGTTATTGAAGAGGGAAGCGAGAACCGAAACAAGCAGGTGTGCGAAAAAAAGGAGGCATTCAACGGTGTAAAAAGAGCACTGACATACAAAAACACCAGACTTGACGACTTCTGGCATGATGGCTATTCAGGTCTGCATTCTTGAACTGCAGCCTGATCGGGAAGGGGCAGCTTGTCGCCAAGAGGGTGCAAGGTGGCTACTATCGACTATTTCATGGAGGAAGAAAAAGAAAGGAGGGAGCATCACGTCACACGAGTGAAGCTGGTATAAAAACAGATTCTCCATCTTTCTGTCCGGCACTGTCTGTTGGTGCTGAAGCACAAGTAAGAAAAGCGTTTCATGCACTAGTACTTGCGCACTCGAGAAAAAGCCGATAAGTTTGGGTGCCTAGACGTAAAGGCTTGTTTCTAAATGAAATATCCGAGTCCTTAGCTAAATCTTCAATAAGCGGGCCGGTTCTACCGTACTTTCCAACATCCGTTTATGTGATTGCTGCTCAATTCCGCCGGCGTGCGCTTATGTAAGCCTTCGGAGTCACAGCACTGACAAACTCTACCGAATATGGCCATTGATAATATTCCTTGTGAAAAGCGTTTTTCCAAACTCGTAAACTGGAAGCAGCAAACACAAGGCTGCGCTGCCGGGTACCGAATCCAAATTTCTACAAACACCGGTCTGCTTCCGGCACTTTCTCCCCTGTGCGCGTTCTGTGGTGAACTGGAAACAATCAATCGATTCTTTTTGACCTGCAGGTGGTTTACTACACTGCGAAATACCTCTTTAGAAATACCTTTACGTGATACTGCTATGGTTTTATCTGTTCCTGTCATTTGTCTTTTAGAGCCTCCATTTCTGGGTAATATCATACCAAGAGTATGTGCGGCTGTCAGGGAATATGGTAATGAAACTCATAGGCTGAATAATTAATTTGTATTAATATTCGAACATATCTACAGCATTATATACGTATAAAAAGTCAGAGTACTGCTCTATTTAGGAATAAATTCGTCTCCTTATTTAAATAATTATATGCTTGGTATCAAGCACCAAAATTTCCTGTCATCTGTAATATTTCTATTAAATATTCCCCAGTCTTCTAAAACTGCGCCTTATTTTATAAAACCACTCAATTCTTGGCTTATCCCCCACAGTGGGTATGTGCCACCAGCAAAAGGCGTCGGCGCAACACGTGATCAAAACGTCAGAGCTTGCGGTAGGCTGTAGTGCTCTCGGTGCTGTTCCGCCTTTGAAGCACCTGCGTGAGCCGGCCGGTCTGTGCCGAACCAGTGCGTTTTGATTAAAAGCTACCGTGCGCCATACTTCGAATTAAGTATCGGCAAGTCTCGCCGCTGGCATAATTTTGCGAAAAAAAGTCACATGGTAGGCCCACAATGCTTGCTTCAAAATGTTACTGTTTGCCAAGGCTGCAGCAGCGTGACGTCACGCTCCCTTCTTTCTTTTTCTTGCTTCCATGGACTATCTGTTCTCGCTGCAGAAAGGGCAATCGTATAGGGGAAACATAAGGGATATATTTGTCACTGACAGAGTGATCGTAAGTGGCTTTCATTACTTTTAGTGTGTGCGTGTGCAGAGGAGAATGTGGCTTAATGCCCATACAGTGGCTGAACACCGTATACAGTGGCTAGTAAGCGTGGCTGCTTTCTTCAAGATAATAAAGGTGTAGGGGCAATGAAGGCATAACAGACATTAGGAAGTAGAAATAACAAGAACGAACTTATCTGAATATTGATCAGCGGAGTTTAACGTCCAAAACCACCATACGAGGACGGCGTAAATTTCGCTTACCTGGGGTTCTTCAAAGTGCCCCCAAATTTGAGCAAACGGGCCTGCAGCATTTTTGCCCCCATTGAAAATGCTGCCGCCGCAGCCACAATTTATCCCGTGACCTGCGGGTCAGGCAGCCGAGTACCTTAGCCAATAGACCACCACGGCGGGGCAACTTATCTAATTGGCAGCTAAAATAATGACGGTAGCAAGTTTAGACTTCCACTTTGTTGTGTTAATATATCATTATTAGTTATGACTACGTGGCATGAGCTGCCGCCTGAACCAGCCTGTACTGCCCCATCTATTAATTAATCTATCCATTCATCATAAGCATTCAAGAACTGCTCCGAGCTATTCGCTGCGGTAGCTCAGTGGTTATGGTGGCGCTTATGTACTCGAGGTAGTTGGTTCGAATCGTGTCCTTACTCGTAGTATTTTATACGTGAGAATATAGAAGAAAAGTCACCCTCAGTGAATTGGACGCTGGTTCTATGCACCCCTGATGACCAGAGATACTAGATAACCTCTTCCCCTCAACCTACGTATGGTATGGCTCATAAGCAGACAGTAGTAGTGGCAAGTAAAACGTTAACGTTTGTTTACCACATGTAGATACTCGATCTTTGCTGCCCATCCTATAGACTGTTATGCACACACTCGCTAACAGAATTACAATGGACAGTTTAGCGCAGTTTATCACAGTTTCCAGGTTTCTTTAGCTTACTTTTCCTGTCACTCTCCTACGAGTAGTTCGGGCTGATCTTCGAGTCATATCATCGGATTGAAAGAGTATGATGACAATGTTAGACATTAACTGACATTTACAAATATTTAAGACATCCTTAGCCACATAGGCGTGCGCATCACGGGGCAAAAAATTATCGCAGTGTCCCCTTCCCTGATTGAAAGATTTTGCTCCCCCTCATCTTAGGTGACCAAGGCGTGGCTGCCCCCCTGCACCTACAAAGCAAGACATGTTTGGATGTTCGTCTTTAGGTGTGCTATGCTTGCAATGACACAAAAACGTACGAGCGCAGGACGGAGCATATACAGCGCCTTATTACAGTGAAACCTGTTATGAGATCACAACTTGGTTCTCGTGCAGCGCCGTAGTTGTCCGCCGCAGCAGGTGTCCGTGACCACATCCCGCAAACTTAGATAAAAACCTAGTACCCATGACACAGTGTAGCTCAAACTCGAGTCCACTGGGCGCCAGCCCAGTATCGGACATACCACTGAGCCACGCCGGCGCTTGGAACATGTTGGCAAACTTGCCATAGGCAGGCTTCATCTCGGGAAAGCAATCGCGTTATTACGGCTTATAAAGCGATAGAACAAGCAGTCGTCGCACAATGCGAATAGCGTAACTGGTGGGTCGTCCAAGGCTCCAACCTATTACAAAAGCTTGTTCTCGCTCAGCTATTAACTTTGGCGCATACCCACTTCAGGCATAATTCCTCATCGTCGTCAGCGACTGCATGAACAACTGGCACAAAATTCCTCGCAATAATATAGCGGACACCACGATTCTCAGAAGAGTGACGAAAAATAGTATGACGAATGCCGCCCTACCAGTCATAAAATTTTTATTATTAATGCATATGGGCATCAAGCAAGTGTAGTTGATGTCCACTACGGCATCAGAGCCTTTTTAAAACAGAATTAGTGTTTAGAAAAGGCTCTGAAAGGCCGCACTTCTAGCTTTCACTGTTACTGTGCTGCGCCTTCAGCGCAGGTCTGGTGTTATATAACTGTGCCATCGTCACCTGTCATGATACCTTTCTGTTTCGCTTCACTTTCTCCTCAGCGTTCAAATGTTAAGCCAGCTAGAAACCGGAAATATTAATGTTTAAAAGTAACCACCGAATGGTTATCTTCAAAAGTAATTCATGTTAAAAGGCAACTACCTGGGGCTCAGGCGTCAACGCCTTGTTCTTGTCTTCTCCCACAGAGCTGGGCTTTGCGGAAGCTGAGGTGCTCGATGAACCAGCCGCCTTGTTGCTCTTAGCAGCCTTTGACGATCCCTGTGACGTCACCACCTTCGTAGTGGCAGGCTTTGCGACGGGAGACTTTGGCTTTTCTGGTGCAGCCACCCTGGAGATAGGAGCTGTGCCAGCCTTCTGTGTCAATTTGGCGTCCCCTATGACCTTGGGTGGATGGTCCATTTCACGTGTGCCAAGAATTTCTCCCAGACGACGCTGACCCTGCGCGTAGATGCAAGAAGAAGGAAATGAAGCAGAAATGCAACCTGATAGCAAGTAAGCCACTAAACGTATATTTGTTTGTTATTGTGCCCATAACGTACACAAACAAAAGCAAGAGAAAAAGTGGTCCCGTATCTGCATTTTACACGGCAAGTGTCGTCGAAAGACGATAGTCTGGGGTCTCGAGAGAGTGAGCAAAACTTTTATATGATGTTCTGCGCAAAAAAAAAAAAAACGATGAACGGTATTCTGGAGGCACTGCGCCAGAGTGCCCCGAGCGTGCAGCGGAGGCGAACGAGCGCAGCGAGTCACGTCACACGTGAGACATGAGCGCTATCTGGCAGTTATCTTGGAAAACGAAGCTCGCGGAGTGCGCGCCCGTCTCGGAGGCGATAAGGTGTAGAACGCGAGGCGGCGGGTAGGTACCACCACCGTGTCATCTTAGCAAAGCATTGGAAACACTTGCCTTTTCGCGCAATAGTTCAAGTGTTACATCGTCAGCGCAGTGTGATAAGCGCTATGGTCCTTAGAATTACTTAGGTATGTAATTTCTACTAAAACTGCACACACACAGAATATTGACGTGTTGTTATGGTGCCTCAAATATGCGCAATAAAGGCTTTTTAACTGACAATCACACTAGTATGAACGCTACAACTTGAGCCATATTAGAGGGCGCAGCGGATGGGGTCCACCTTTTGGGGTATAGTTTGGTGTCGTTTGGGGTACTGTTAAGAGCGGACAAACGGACAAATGTAGAGACGTCTGTCCATCCATCGTGCGTTTGTCCATCCAACCGTCCAACTAGCGAACACTTCGAATACCGCCATCTTGCATATTTTTATCAGTATTCATCATATAGAAATACCGCCATCCAGCGGACATTCTAAGGACATACCGAAAGGTGGTACGGCTATACTAGAAGAGCGGCACGCACGCACTTTCTTACGGCCCGCGCTTCGTGTTTCATTTCCACCTTTCACCGCCACCAGTTCTTGGAACTGCGGCGCAAAACTCGCTAAATATTGCTAAAACCAAGGAGGTTACGTCCAGCGAGTTCAACGTGACTACATTTCTGTTCAGATAGTGCTCAAAGTGCGTCCTTCTAATACTAGTTTTTTTAGTAAGCATCAAACTTGAGGTAAATTTTATTGCAGATTAAAACGCCAGTGCTCGCTTCCGTAGGTTATTTATTCAGAAACAACTACATTTTTATTGATGTATAACGTGCGTGGGTTTCCTCCTCAGTTCAAATGAGTACGCGCATGCCACTCCTCCTGTCCAGCTGTGGAGGTGGCTACGTACTACTACGACGCACTTCTAGAACTATTACTACGTACTTCGCAGACGCACGATCCACGGCGTAAGGAGCCTCACCCCTAAAACAGGTCCCCTAGGGCGAAAGTCGTGTTCTTCCTAGTCGGTAATATTGATGCTGCCCCCGAAAGATATGCGCACTGGCACTGCCTTCTGTATATCGCGCAGCGTTTTGCAGGGCCTCTGGGGAACCGAGTGACGCTCTCGTAGTCACCTGATGCCCCTCTACGATGTGACGTCGTGGTCACATAACAAGTCTCGGTGACTTGTGAAGCCATGATGACGTTATAGAGGGACGTAATCTCCCGATGATGTTTTGCATTGGTCGCGTTGATCCCAGTGCCGACGGTCACGTTTCACGAGGCATCTAAGCATTTCACCTTAAAACAGTTATACCATTGAGAAGTAATTTTGGCTGACTACATGTTCACAGTTTTAAAAAATCGTAGAAACAAACCACATGCCGTCGGGACAGCCTTGCTTAATATTATTGCCCTACGAAAGATTAACAGCGTCATGAACGACAGTCAAACAAAGCGACATGCTTTAGTTGGTTCCGTTCTTGCTCAGCAAACAAATTCTGCTCGAACTTCCCGTTAGCTGATTCGGAGACACATTTTGCTTCAATATGCAGCGAGAATAATCTGCAAGCGAAATCCGATAACATATTAGGCCAGGGACCTCTCGCATGGCACTTAACAGTTGCTGTTTCTAAGGCATATTTTGCGCGTTCTCATTCGTTTTGTGGTTGTACAGTGTCTCACACGCATGGTGTAAAGAAATAATTATTTTTGTCACACCATGCTCACCCGTGAAAATTTACTGGAAGCTTTGTCGACGTCACTACTTGCGTTTATCAAAAGAAACTCGGTCATGGCTGTGGCGGTCACATTTCGATGAAGGCGAAAGGATATGCACGTTAAAAAACACCAGTTGGTCGACATTTCTGGAGCTTTTCAATATGGTCTTCCTCACGAACATATCGTGATTTTAGATGCATACCCCAGATAATAAACATTTATTTAAACAAAAAAAGTCACAGCTGTGCCACAAAGGCATAGAAAGCATGAACGTGATAGCAACAAATTGGAAGGTCACACGTAGAATGGCCGGCAGATCAAAACGTGCCCCACCTTCTCTCGCGCAAAGGACGCATGAAACCTACTCACAGGTACAGATTAACGCGAACACTTCGCTGTGTCTGAAAACTTCGCTGTGTCTTCGCTCAACACTTCGCTGGACACTTCGCTGAAAACTTCGCTGAACACTTCACTGTGTCTGTGTCGCTGTGTCTGAAAAGCGCGCCCTTTTCGCAAATGGAGGCTGCGCAACGATTGCAGTGACCTTTGTGCGCCCGGTAACTACAATGGAATTGTTCCGATGAAACCCAAAGGCTAGCCATGACGTACGATTCTACCCACTGCAAGATAAATTCGTGCGATCGAGTGCACACCCACTTATTTTCTACGCGGACCAAAGTACGCGTGAGAGATGAGAGCCACCGCGCGCTCACTGCGCCATCTTGCTGATAATTCTGAAAAGACGATAGTTCTCTCCCCCCCCCCCTCCCCCGAGACGCCTGCCAACAGCGGTAAGTGCTAGATATGAATAGCTTGCCGTTTGCACGTTGAAGGAGGTAGCTCTAGGTGGCTCAGCGGTTAACACCTCGCATTCACGGCACGGAGGTTCCACATGGAATTCTGCGCGCCAGTGTCTTTTTGTGCGATTTTTTAATTGTCAATACACTTTATAAGCGACACCAAACCATCTACCGCCATCGGCGGCGTCCGCAGTCTTCTCTCTATCTTTAAAAGAAAGAGGACTTGGCGGGCCGCAGCGCGACGCTCTACCGAATAAGCCACGGACGCGACGCTGATATCGGTGTCAGTAACGCGCCTTATACCCCCTCCCCCTTCGCTCGCTCCTCCGCTGTCCTCGCTCGCTGCAGCTGCGCGCGCACCCCTCTCTCTCGTGCGCCCGCCTTCTCTCTCAGTCTCCCGTCGAGAGCGGGTCGTGAGGGAGAGTAAAGTTAAAATCCGTTGGCATTCGCCAGTGAGTTAACGTAAACTCCCCCGTGTGATCAAATTGCGATTTCCAGGAACCATTACACCATAAAGGCACCATAGTGTGATTAATAAATATAATAGTGCGAATTAATAAATACCCCTCATAGCATCACCCCGTGTATTCGCACTTAACCATGTTCACCCTCGGGGAAATGCTTGGGAGTTTTTTTTCTTTGTTGCGCTTTCATATATATAGATACGTGTACATATATGATGCATGACATCGACACCGACGCTGGCGACGAAATAGAGCTGAGAGTATCCATATAGTTGTTATCGCAATAAAAGGCAGTGAGTCTGCTCGTCATCAAAAAAACCAAGAAATATACAGGCGAATGAAGAAAGTGTGTGCAGGTTCATACTTGATCACCTTCGCCTATAATTTTTTTCATCCTGTGACAAAATTTTAATAGTTATTCAATCCTACGGATATGCCGAGCTGCGATTTTCAGAGTTGTAGAACTGACTGATTGCAATATCAAGCTTTCGGTGAGTGCCTTGATTCTTCCCACATTTTATGTCTATCTTAGCAAGTATTTTTTCATGATTTGCACTAAATGAAACAATTCATGTAAAATAAGCATTTCCGGGAAACAATGTTTCTTTGGTTTGGCAGTTTTGTCACAACAAAGGCGTAGAGCGCCAACGAGGTTCTCTATGCTTAACGACGACTGACGTCTGATACGAAGACGTCGTGTTAATCCACGTACAAATAATAATTAGTCGGGCAAGCATCGCAACGAAAACTATATAACCATCAGTAGAAAGAAAATTCAGGGAGGGTAAATCGCGACATCGCGAATCGTAAATCGCAAATCTGTCGCTGGGTGACATCGAGGATGGAAAAAACAGCACCTCGCGCTTTGACTTGCTGCATGGCATGCGCAGCACAAATGAAAGAAAGACACTGCAACTTTCGCATCGCTGACGCGTTCAAGTTAGCCACTGCGTATTAGGCAAAAAGATCAACGCGAGCACAAAAACGCATCTTGGCTTCTCTAGTAGATCCTCTGCAGCAGGTATGGTAAAATTACTTCTTAATTGTTATTAACTTATTATATATATAATCATTACCTTTCTAACTTTCTTTAACGTATAATTTAATTACACCACAAAATACAGCTGTCCAGCAACAAGGACATTGTGTTATCGTTACTTGTGGAAATAATGAATTTACTTTGAAGTCAGCAGAATTACGCCGTTTGTGCACTAACTCACGTAAACGTTATTTACAGCATACGTACGTATACATTGAAATCTCGGAGACTTTCATTCAAGTTTACACACTTGAGGCTTGACGATCAGAATAATTTGTATTTGTTATTTTTAAAAGGATTTTTGTTCACTATTTGATCCCATGAAAAAGCGGACGTGCGGAATTTGAGCCAGACTTAATTGTGAAAGTAATGAGCAATGCTCTAAACATCATAATTGTTCCCGCGAACATGAAAAATATGTGGGGTGTAACGTCCTAAAACTGCCATATGAGAAACGCCGTAGTAGAGTACTCCGAAGATTTCAACCACCTGGGGTTCTTGAACGTGCACCCAATGTTGAGTAACACGGCCCTACAGTATTTCCGCCTCCATCGAAAATGCTGCCGCCACAGCCGGGATCGAATCCTGCAACCGGTGGGTCAGCAGCCGGGTACCTTAGCCACCGCGGCGGCTGATCTCATAAACATAGCAATCGGTGTAACATGAATGTGTAACAAACAGAGGTAAATGAATGTTTACTGTACATTGATATAAGAGAGTTTGCACAATATGTAACGTGTATGCGCCCACGTTGACGCTTAGGCGGTGCCTCATTAATGATTGAACAAACCGTTCTGGTAGCTGTGCATGTTAATGGCCACAGAGTAATCACGGAAAGAAGCCTAATAGTCCTGAAGCGCGTCGCCTGCTGCGACGCAGAACTTCGGCTAAAGCCACTGTCTATTGAATACCACGTCGGGCTAGAGGGAAAAGCTAAGCGGGTCGTGTTGCGCCTGTAGCCTGGCCGCAATTTTTCACGGTTTGAGCGTAAATTCAGGGGTTTCACAGCGTAAGCGAGCAGCGTGACACCAGAGCCAAGAGGTGCTTTTGGTTTGGATGGACGTTATGAGCAAGGCCGACGCTATGCCAACGCTTTGCGACGCTTGTCCTAAGGTCGCCACCCTGCGGTGCATTAAGGCGTTGACAAAATTGCACTGCCAACTGAAACTTCCGCGCTTTCCATAGAAGCTGCGATGGGGTTCAAGAGTTGCAGGGGCTTATCGCATAGGCCACAGTACCGACGAATTACTTTATTGCTCCAAGAGGGCGGCACCATCCCGCTGACAGAGAACGTCGTGTGATGAACGTATACATGATATAAGATGCACTTTTGTAAACCAGTTTGTGACCGTGACACAGTGGATAGCACGCTTGGCATCTGCTGCTACGGGCCGAGAGGTCGTAGGTTTCATGCCCACTGGTGAAAATTTTTTCTTTGAAAACTGATCGTGTACATTTTTTAGACATGACTGAAATCTTGGTGTGCCCTGACATAAAGCACTTTCGTGTTGAAATATTGTGTTGTGGTAGTTCATAACAGTGACATGTTACTAGCGCCCTAAAAAGCAATAGATTATTTATTACAGCAAACAGCAATTTATTAACTGCAAAATATTACTGTCATTTGTTTACACGTCAATACATAGCTGCGTATGCACACTTGCCTAGAATTTTCCTATGTGAATCTGTAGTCCATGCTACCTCATCCGTCCCGCCGTTGTGGGGCTAAGCTACAGTGCTGCTGACCCGCAGATCGCGGGATCGAATCCCGGCTGTGGCAGCAGAACTTTCGATTGAGGCGAAAAATGCTGTAGCTCCGTGTGTTCAGATTTGGGTGCACGTTAAAGAACCCCAGGTGGTCGATATTTTCTGAAGCACTGCACTACAACGTCGCTCAATACTATATCGTGGTTTTGAACATTAAACCCCACATGTCAATCAATCGCTACCTCAGCAGACTCTAACTGTCAAGAGGTGCAGTGATAGCACGGAGCAAAAAAAAAAAAATGAAGATAATTATCACTTTTACCACGCTAACCAGGAGCGCAGCGAGATCTGTTTTTTTTTTTCTGTGCTGCAAGGGGGTTCAAGCTTATACGTTAGGCGCGATCATGCGTGTCTTTGCAGGTATGCGAAATTCAAACTTTTTGGGAGGCTGTTTCCCTTTCCTTCTTTCCTGGGTACGCCAGCAGCAACGATCTTGATAAAGAACAGGGAATAAAAGCAAACCTGCAGACCTATGCTGTCCGAAACATGTAGCGTCCTTTAAGATTTTGATACATGTTCTCCAGGTCTTCAGTTATTTTGAGCCCTGTAAAATTTGAGATTGTGCACGAAGATGCGCAATGTGGGCGTCATTGCTGTGGCAGAGGAGCAATGCTCTGAGTGAACTGCGCGTCTCGAGGCTACCTTGAACTCGTCCTTCTTCTTCATGCTGATTGCCTCACGCAGCTCTTGGATCTTGCGCAACTTCTCCTGCTGGGCGCGGATATAGGACATCTCGGTCTTCACGTCCTGCAGGTACACGATCGCCTCTTCGCGCGTCATCTGCGACACAGTATCAATCAATCAATGAGTCGATCAATCAATCAGTATTAGCTTACATGAAGCATATCTGAGTTCGTTGGTAATGTTCTGTAGAAGGACTTGTTTGTGAGCTATTTTGTGCTTGCTAATAATCTAATAATCATGGTATAGCACAAAAGCACAAAACGCACACGCAGAAAGGACATACCACAGGCACCAAATAAGGGAGATACCGCGAAAGATTGACGTGGGTCCAAAATATCATATTTTAGATTTCATTGTTTATTTTAAATTTTGTACGCATACCACCCAATAGCCCGAAAGTGAACTTCGTTTTTTATAAACTGCATAATTTAGGAGGAAAAAATATTGATCTTATTCTGTACAGAGAAACCAATTTCTTCCCTTGTCATTCTCGAAAGTTAACGACGATATAAAAACACAGATATTACTTTGACGAAGATGATCTTTTTTCCAATTAATTTACGCGCAATTAAAAGTGAAGCAGCGTTGTTTGAAGCCTAAGGGCTGAAGGAAACTGTTTTTCAAAACTTTTTGAACAGGGGAATTTTTTTAGAAGTTAATATAATTAGGTTTTTTTTCTTCCTAAGCTAAATCAGTTAGTGTTGTATAACTTGGTGACCTATTACAACACAATGTTTAGAATAGTTCCTGTCAATACCATTGCTGTGCTTAAACAGATATTTTTTATAAATGGTCTGAAACTTTCTACTTCGTTGACCATAAAGCGTATTGAAAAATTAATATTGAAATTACCCAAATTTGCCCTTTTAAGCTGAGGCTTGAGAACCCCAACCTATTCTCCCCCTTTTTACTCACCTCAGTTATGAGGCAGCTATTTAGTATACAGTGCTCTGCTTTTAACGTTTTAATTCAGTATACGTATATGGAATAAGCTCACTAAAGGGACCGCCGAACATAACGAATATAGAAATTTAGTAACGCTGCTGCCACCTATTTAACCTGAACACGGTTTAGCGTTTCCTTCCCTGGTCGCCTGCTCAACAATGTCATGCGCACCCCCTGTTGTAGGCAATCCATGATATCATAGGGTTGCAACCATAGAAAACACTAACAAATCTAATTTTAACGGAACATAGTTTAGCAAAGCCTAGCAAAGCACGAATCCTCACTCTCCGACCAAAGAGCTTGGGAGTGATTGAGCCGGCATCTTAAATCGTAGTGTAGATGACCGTGTGGCTGAAGAATGTCGAATTGCTCTGTGCAAATGCAGATGACCTAGAAACTATTCCTTACTTTAAGATTGTTTTAGTGCATATTGTTGCCACGTGTTGCCTGCCTACGTTTTCGGTGCGTTTGGTCAACCTCACCTAACAATACCAATAATGGTGCTGCTTTTTAGTGTCAAGCACTGGTGTAAGTCTCCTGAAAAAAAAAAGTGCACCGTTTTGAGCACACCATGGCTTTTGTTCAACGCACTTCTCAGCTTAAGAGGGGATATTCCTCAGACTAAGAGGAGATGAGGAGGCCATCCCAAGTGTCCATGTACTATCTTCCATGGTACTAAGCTGGTGTTGGAGCATTTTAATTCATCGCGTTGTCTGCAAATATGTACGGAGCACCTTATAATGTGTCGTTATGCATGCTCATACAGAATTAAAGCTGAGGAAGCGCACGAGAATCGCCTTTACAGAAATGTATTCCTCGAAGTGCTAAATCTGCTCTTTCTTTGTAAGTATGGTCCTGTTCAAACGACTCAGAAGCTGAGGCCTCCCTTCCTTTAGCCAGATTTCTCATATTTTTATCGCCCAGGTGCATCCTAGAAAAGCTAGAACTTCTACCCGTAGCATTGTCGTTGCAAATAAAACAATGCAACAAGCTTTTTAATATATTTTTTCATTATCTACAGTAGTATTTTTGTGGGATATTGAGAAAAATTGAACATGGAGTGTTTACAATATTCATTTTTCAATAGGCTCTACTGTCGACGAATGCTTGAGGTCATTTATGAAAATATGTTTAAAGTACAGCAACAGTACTGACAGGCAATATTGTGAACATTTTTTTTTTGTAATAGGTCACCATGTTATGAAACACAAACCTATTTAGCTTAGGAAGAAAAAATCTCAAGTACAGCAACTTTTGAAAAAAACGTCACAAGTTCAGCCATTTGAAAAAAAAAACAGTTTGCTTCATCCCACAAGCTTCAAACAATGCTGATTCACACTTCATTACGCGTATATATATTAGAAAGAAAGATCGCCGTCGTTACGTTGATATTCATGTTTTTTTATCGTCGTTAAGGAGGAATAAATGAGGAAGGACAGGGAGGTTAGCCACTCCGTCGCTAACTTTCGAGAATGACAAGGGACGAAATTCGTCCCTGTGTACAAAACCAGGTCAATATTTTTTCTCCTCAATTATGCATTTAATAGATAAACGAAGTTCTCTCTGGGCTACGGGGTGGTATGTGAGCAAAGTACAAAATAAACGATCAAATTCTAAGTATAAACTTTCGGACTCATGTCGATATCACGTGTAATCACCCAGAAGCAACTTCGTCCAATAAAACTTGTTGCTGGGCCAGCTGGTTATCCGTCATATTGTAAGAAAATAGGTGCAACTTCGACTCACACAAAACGTCATACAATCACTCACTCATCCACCCGAGAAACACACGCGACACACAGCGCTCACTACCAACTGTTGACTCTCACTACCAAATCGCCATTTTGTGTATGTAACAAAAATGCGCAAACATGATGATCAACAAAGGAACGCATGTGGAAAGCATTCAACGAGCGCTACAAGAAGCGCCGCCACCAATCAAGGTAACAAATACGTAGAAGACAAAGGATAAGTACGCGCATCTTGTGGCACATGTGAACCACGAGTCACAGGCACGCAGCTCCTCGCAAGAAGCTTGAAATCATCTGCACGTCTGCCATCGGAGGCATATTTTCTTGAAAAAAAGTAAGCATTATTGTGTTGGCGAGCCGTCTTTGGTGTTACATCAAACGTTTCTTTTTCTCAAAAAAGGTTATTTATTTACCTTGCTCGGTGGTGGCGCTTCTTCTATCGCTTGTTGAATGCTTTGCACATGCGTACCTTTGTTGATCAGTGCCTTCACGCATTTTCCTCCCCATATATAGGACGGTCCTTTAGGCGCAATAAACAGTAGGTAGCGAGCGCTCTGTGGCGTGTGTGTTTCTCAGGTGGGCGAGTGAGTGGTTGTATGAGTGTTTGTGGGAGTCAAAGCTGCATTTATTTTTCCTTACAAGACACACTTATTGGTAGCGCCTGTGGTGCACCTTTCAATGCGTTCGTTTTGTCCTTTCGCGCTCGCAACACCGTTATTATCATCATGGGTAATGCTGTGAAAGATACACGTACGAATCTCCAAACTGGTAGGTCTTTTCGTGGTCTCCTTTTAGGAGGTGTACAGCGCTTGCATCAACGTACTTCAGGCAATCAATCATTTGCTTTTTATTAAAAACACGGTTTGCCAAAACCAACTCGCTCAAACTAATCTTTTCCCGCTTACTTTAGCCGCATTATTGAAAACAAATGTTACTACAAAGCAAGAGCTTGATAAAGCTCCAGAACAAGATAATGAGTATTCTAAAAAAAATAAAATTGTGAGCATCAGTGCATTCACAAGCCATTCGTATTCAATGGGAGATTCTGAGTTGAAAACGGAAGCAATGTTTCGAACGAGTGTTCTTTGGTGGACAGTTTGGTTTATGTTCGTTATGGAACGAACAATGGAAGAACGAGCCTGACGAAGCGGTGTAGCTGTGCTACCGCTGTGGAATCACTGCTTCACCAGAATGGATGTTTTGAAATTTTCCGCTGAGTGTATAGACGCTTGCTTCGACTGCACTTACAGTGTTGATAATTATTGAAAGCAACAGCACCGATAACGTTATTCATAGCCTACATTATGTTACTGCGCATGTGCACTCTTTCTTGCTGTGTCTACAACAAACCTCTTTTTTATAACATCAGCATAGAGTAATCTATGAAAAGCTAAGAGAGAACACTCCCATAGGTCCCTGTGGCCGATTTGGGTTCGCAACACTCTAACTGGTCGTTGGCAACTTTTGCAGCCTCAGAAATGGGAGAATGCAGAAAAGGATGTCTCAGAGGCCATTTTATAGCGATTAGAATTATTATACTAGTGAATGACACAATATCAATCGTAAAGACATGTACTTACACGTGAAATGCACTAGAAAATGTACTCTATAGGACGCGCGTCTCCTTGAAAGCAATGAGTGATGTGTTGCCATCTTAAGGCCGGTGTGAAGCTGCGTAGCGCCGCCGCTTTTGGCGAGAGTGACCACTCTTAATTTTTATGCCACTCTATGGCATCACTCGATAACACTTCATTGGTAGTGTTATGATTCTTTTTCATTATTCGCACCTGCCTCTGGTATAGAATTTTCGGCCTCAGAGAAACCGGATGATATGTTTCTGTTCGGAGCCCATATGTGATTTCATTGGCCCAATCGATTGTACTATCAGCGTCAAATGAAACCCGAACAGCGGCAAGCTTTTGCGATAGTGTAGTGCGTCCCGTACACTTATCACCATTGACAGGCGCACGAATTCTGTTCGGTAGCTTTGCGCATATATGCGTGCCTGTTCGTAGTGATAAGTGGACGGCGCGCACAATAGCGAAGGCTTGCCGCTATTCGGTTTCAATTGACGCTGATAGTACACGCTTTCGCAAAACAGTTAGGGTGCTTAATATATGTGCAAGTTTCAAGCCTCAAAATTATCGCTAAAGCAAGAGCAGTCCTGTCTGAACAAACCATAGTGTAGGCTACAAGAATGCTGTGCTGTTTCATGACGCTTCCAAACCGGATGTGCGTCTGGTTAACCTCCCTGCCTTTCCTTGCATCTTTATCTATCTCTCTCTATCTCTCATGACGCTTCAACGGCGAGAACTCCTTGGCCCCTTTTTGACAAACAATATTTCGCGCGATTATCCTGTATTTCTTGCGAAGATATGTTTGAACGAACGCAGACAGAAGCGCGTACTGAATGGAGACAAATGAGAGATATAAACAACGAAGGGGAAAAAATGTGCGTGAAATAGTTCGAAATGTTTTGAGCGCATATTCTTGCCAATGATATTTTACTGCTAAGAACGAATTTAGTTTGCAGCGAATTGGAGCCTGGGCTGGAGGTAGTTGGTAACGGAAAAAATATCGAAAATAGTATACGCCCACCTGGACAAGGACAACGAAAACGAACAAGCAGAACACTAAATATTTCAGTTTGTAGCCTAGATGTCTCATACGCTGAGAGAATAGGGGACAATCCAGAAACAAGAGGCTGATTGTTGCCTAATGAACGAAGCAAACAGGAAGTTAGTTTGTTCTGCTGCAATAGCGAAACAATAAACGAGATAGCAAGACATTGGAATGTAATTCGAAGAACGACAAGCGAGACTCTAAACTTGCAGCAAGCCGCTGAGGAGAAAAGACGAATGCTCGAAAACAAACGCGAAGGCATGCACAGGAAAAAACCGAACTAACACAGTCACTGTTCTTACGTCTTTTTGTTCGATTCATGTGCTGAACACCCGACGCTCTTAATTTTTTCTTAAAAAAAAAAAACACGGCGTGAGGAGTGTGACCCCTCTGCATCTTCTACCACGTCGTGGCGTCTGATTCAAGCTGGGCCCAGCGTTCTTTTCTTCTTCTTTTTTGTTCCACATCACGAATGGTTACAGAGAGACACAGACTTTACGTACAGGCGTGAGCATAAGTGTGCACATCAAGGGATCGCGTGGCCGACCGATGGCATGGATGCGCTATCTGGCGACGAGACTCCTGCTGCGGTGCGCATGCGCGTCCCGTCGTATCAGTTGGCTTCTCATGTCACTCTCTCCGACGCGCCCGTACTCGAAACGACAACTGGCTGTCACTGTCTTTGATCCATCGCATCTGTGTCTTTTTTTTTCAATATAGAGGCTGCAACAGTGCTGGTTCCAGCACCGGGATAGTGTGGTTATTTACGCCGGTTGATTCATAATTATAATCATAGCCAGCCTCGCAAAACATGATCAAGCCAAGCACAAAAAATTTAATTTTCTCTGCTCAGCTTGCCTCAGTTCTCGCGTCGCGTTAGGAAAGCTGATTTTAAATGAGCCTAGTTAAGTTAATGTAAGTGTAGCCGAATCTAATCCAGCCTAGTTGAGAGTGGCATCATGTGATAAAATCGGTTAAACCGAGTCCAGGTTGCTGTTTTTATGTTAATAACCCTCTATTGCAAAGTGTCCCATAGTTTGCACATACCGTTTACCATTTTTTCTTGCAGATGTGGGCTATCCAGTTGAGATCGTGACATTGTCAGAATAATTCTCATAATAATGCGCTTTTATGGTGGGCAAGTGATTCCATATATCTGAACGATAAGCGAAACAGAGGCAAGTGCATTTTGGGATTCGACGTGCAACTCGGAGGGGGCAAGCACGGGAAATTGTTTTTTTTTTCTATGAACGTTGTCACCTTGAAAACATATAAAAATGATTTTGGCATGTTTTATGGTCTCATATATATTTAAGCCCGTTATTAGTTCTCTGAATTTTCTCCGCAAGTACACCAGAGAACCAGATAGTACTGTGTGCAAAATTTGGCACAGTATTAAGGTGATAGACAAAATTTGTCCAGTAAAATGCAAAAGAAATTTATGTAATGCGTAGCCTTCGAGCTTCGATTATTAAACTTCCTCTAAAACTGCGGATGAGCATTGCAAACTAGCATTCACAATGCTGCAGTTAGTAGGAAATTGCGTGGAAAGGAATACAGGTGTTATGAGGTGAATGTGTAGCATGGTAGAGCGACAAATGCGTCCACGTCCTCACAGGTCACTTTTTCAAAGATAGAATTTCGTCGCTCGGTACGGTGAGGACTAATCGTCTACCAAACTGCTGCCAGAAAAGCGAAAAGAAACTGAAATGTAAAGAATGTGGTGCTTCAAAGTAACTCGAAACCATGATAGGTGATGTGGAGTTACCTTGTGTGCATTGGTACGATAACCACGCCGTATCATTCCTGTCGACCTTTGTCGGGAGGCATCCTGTCCAAAAAGATAAGTACTGTTTTACCTTAGCCAAAAAGTTTCGTTAGAATGATTGCCCCAGTGTAGTGAATTTCTACAACAGGCACATGGGCGGAGCCGTTCTGCTGGACTCACTGCCTGGACTTTACCGCGTGCATATCAGGTCGAAGAAGCGGTACGCGGTGGTCGTTCCTATGGCTAAACGACCACCGCGCCAGAGTTACCCGTAGTTAATTTCGGAAAACTGCATGCAGGGAGGAGTCACTTTTCTCACGAGTGTATCCAGGGCAGTTTTAAAAATAGAACAAAGTGTAAGAGCACTGTGAAATAAAAAAACACTCTCAAACTCCTTCGAGATCTGCGTACAGCCGGCTATAAATAGCGTATATTGCCACGTTTCTTCCTCAAGTTTTGTTATTGTTCCGTTACACTGCCCGTAATACTCAGTACAAACCACGCCTGCAGTGTTCCAGAAGCTTCAAGACTGTAGTAAATCATTTCGTTAAGATTACGCCAACTTCGCTAACATTACAGATTATTCTAGAACCTACGTGGCCATTAGCGATTACGCTAGAATATTCCATGGCAAGTGGCTAGATACCGACGCACTTCACCACTTATCGGTTGATCGACGGCCGACGCTTTGTTCGCCGCTATCAGTGCTAGTGTGTCGCTGTATTCTTACTTTTCATTTGTCGGCCACAAGTTAAGCTCAAATAAAGTTTCATCTTCGATCTAAAGTCTTCTGCCTTCATCATGACCCCGTGATATTATAAATAGCTCACCGTTACTAAGCATGAATTGCCCGTGGTAGTGTTTATAAGGCGGTGTCGCGGGTCCTGTTGCGTTGCTTTGGAGTTACTTTCTTTTTATTTGTTTTTGCTCGTGCTTTTCTCTTATACGTACAGACGAATACATACACGGGACATGACAGTGACCACGAAAATCTGCCGAGAGTGTCTATACAACTGCTTTCGCAATAAACGCACTCTGTCTCTTATTATGATGCCATCTTTTCTACATAAGCTGGACTTTCATCTAAACTTGCTTAATTACACCTAAAAATGCTCTCAAGCTCTAAGAGAAACGTTGGGTTAATTTTCTTTCAATAGTAACTTACTAGAGTCATTGAATGTACGTTTGTGGAGCAGGATTTTTGCACTTCTATTGCTTTCCTCGTTTACGACATTTTCTTGATCAAAACCTTTCGCGAAGGTTATGCTCTGTCAGCTGTTTCACTGCGCAATATTGAACTTGGGAAAGCATTCACCGCTGGTGAGTTCCATAGTTACAATTTAAAGTATGTCGCTAAAGCATACCAACTCAAAAAAGTAGAAACCTCAACGCTAAACTGGACAGGCTGATCGGGCAGTACGCCTAACGTGATAGTCCAGTTTAGGGCCTGCGCTCTGTGAACAATGCTTTACAGAAAGACGACTAATCCTCTCACTGGAGGTAAATATTTTGCAGTGAGGCAAATTATGCCAGGTTTGTTTTGTGTGTGCTTCTGGCTCTTACCATTCCTTGTCTGAGTAGCTCTTCCACTGCCATGGCGACACCTTCTTCGTCACCTGTCCTCAAGATGTATTCCGCCAGGTCTGTGGGCGTGTACTGCACGAAAATTTACACGTAAAAGATTGTGTTGGCATTATTCAAAAGCCTTAAAGTCGGAGAGACGCACATTTTCATTATCATATTTATACCTTAAACTAAAGTTGGCATACACAACTATCTAGGTTACATTTACGCTATAACCACTCACTACAGCACAATGGTTTGTTCTACCAGCCCATCGAGAATGTAAAGCCTTACTCGACGAGAATATAGTTAAAAAATACGTACACCACAGCTGCTTAGGAGGTAGCGTACCACTACATGGCTGCACTCCTGCTGCTTACTTTCAGCCTTGTCCGGCAGCCACATCGATAATATCTCTTCATAGTGAACACAGCAATTAAAACAGTGAACCCAGTAGCGCCTTCGTTGAGTGAAACACCGCCGGCTCATCCAGCTGCGGTATCGCAAGGGGCTGTGGTATCGCAAGGGCTCACGGTACGCGATACGTGCAATCAGGTAAAAAATGGCGGTGTGTCCCTCCCGGCACACTCACGTCGTTACGGTCGGGTTCCTGTACGTTCCAGGTGTAAGGAACATAGTTCTTTTTTTCGGCGGCGCCCGGCAGAAGCTGCCGCTGCGCGTTGTTGTTGGCGTTGCCGGAGTCCTCGACCTTGGTTTCGTGGATACCCAGTGCAGGCACGTCGAGTTGCGTGCGTGAAACGCTGTGCAGCTGCTCGCCAGGGCCGTGCTGTTCCAACTGAGAGCTCACCTTGACGCTGGCGAGCGTCTCTCCTGTTCGGGCGTCCTTCACTGCAATCATGATTATAAAGAAAGACAGGAATTGGGTGACAGTTGACTTGTATGGCTCATGCTACGTTATACCGAAAACGTCTTAGGCAGTTAAATAAATCGATTGGTGTAATGTTTCTGCTATAACAGCTGACAGTAACAGGTAACCAATGCTAACCAACATTCAACATTACTTAGCCGACACTAACGATAATTTAACATTATATGACACTATCCAATATATTAGCCAACTTTAGCTGACATTAGCCACTCCCAATTAGTGGTACATGTGGTTAATCGATCAATTCGATAATGAATATTTTTTGCATTTCATTAAAGAATATCGAGTAAACAAACCTAGGACGCCCATGTCTTGAGAAATCCTTTGTAAAGCATATGCACCTTTGACCGTCTAGCGACAACTCCGCGGGGTACCTTTTCAAATCGTTGTTTTTCTAAAGATACGATTGGGATTGGTTTCCACGAGTTCGAATTCCCAACGATCTATAAGAGGTTTGCACCGTAGGATATGCGCTTAAAGCACTTCGTCACGTGATAACACCTTGCGTACATAGTGCTGTCGCCACAACTGTGTGGACGTACGCGTAGTACGCAGATGTATGCGTTACGCAGAAGCAGGATAACCACTGGTCATTGAGGGTAACTGACTAGATTCGCTGAGAAGGCTAACGCCCGAGGAACACACAGAAAATCAGGTAGGCAGATGAGATTAAGAAGCTTGCGGGTTAACGGGGCAGCAGAAAGCGCGGAACAGGATTTATCGGTGGAACGTGGTGGTGCCTGTGCCCTGCAGTGGGCGTAGTTAGGCTCACGATGATGGTGATGATGATTATGGTATAGAATATGATGCGTAGAACAGGGTTTCTATTTCGAACATCGTCAAATTTTGCCGTTGGGCAAGTTTGATAGTCCCGGAGTGCTGCTACTGCCTGACAAATCGGCTTAAAATGCTCTCATTGCAAAATTTCACATAACGGTGAAATTTAGCTGCTCAGGATCGTCGTCATCGTCATCACCATCATCATCAACACCATCAGCATCATCATCATCAGCAGCAGGAGCTGCTGGCTGACTACGCCTCCTCAGGGCAAAGATCTTAATAACCAGTTGTTATCCTGCCTACGCGCTAAGTGCCCAAGATAGCACTCCAGAAACGCACACAGATATTGTTCTCGGCAGGCATCTTGGCAAGTGTGGAAAAGAATGCGGTTATCATTGGCTTTCTTTAGAGTGGCTATTTTCCGTATGCACCTGCAAGCTGATCGGGTTAGGGCCACTGCTTTGTTAACTGCTCCTACTGCAAGTAGCAACTCACCTGAATTGTTAAACACATACGCACACGCGCACGCACACGCGCACAAACGCACACGCGCACAAACGCACACGCGCGCGCACACGCGCACGCACACGCGCACACACGCACACGCGCACGCACACGCGCACGCACGCACACGCGCACGCACACGCGCACGCACGCACACGCGCGCGCACACGCGCACGCACACGCGCGCACACGCGCACACGCGCACACACGCACGACTCCTGGTCAGGACAGATCAAATTTGTCCACAGAATTCCAGGGCTGTAATCTGAGGCATAGATTTTCGGTAGTTGCGCAATGACTGACGTAATTAGTTTACACTTTTTCTTCAGCCGGCCTATCTGTGCGCATTAAAATCTATATTATGGCGACGCATCAAAATGCGATCGTCTAAAAATGGAACCCCTGCCCAGCTTGGAAAAGCGCTTAGGTACGGATATACAATACCTATAGCAGAAGCATTTATTGGTGTGTCAGGTTACTGAAAATATAAATGTAATGACAAGCACACCCCATGTTGCAATACAGCCACACAATAACATCCGAATAGTTGTTATGCAAACGTCGTTCCAACACGATGGTGTTGTAATGATTTGGATGACACTCAGTACCACTTTTATACGTGATGCAAATAATATCGAGTGCTTCAAGATTACATTGGCTTTCAGCTTGCTTTGTAGTGGAAGTAAAACATGAATTGTGTAGAAAACAAAGTAATGACACACAAGCGTTTGTAATAGAACAAAGTATACTAACCAACATCACGAATAAGGCAGGGTGGCCAGAAATTCGTCATACGAACAAATGGTACAGGGAGCCGGAGCTTTAACTTGAGCCTTAAGAGTTTCCTCAATATGACCCTGCGTGGCAAATTCTATTGGCGATCCATTATTTAAAAACAGCTTGCAGCCCATTGTGTAGTTTATAAATATTATGTTAGATATGACACAATATCTTTTAGTGCCATTCAAACTTTCTGAGAACCATCTGAACGCCCGGATTTACTAAAGTGTGAACACTTGTCATTAGTAATACATTCTTACAAGTTTAAAGTTACTGGAAGCCATATAGCGCGGGAACAGAAACATATCCCGGATTTTCATATATTTAGGTGGCAGGATAAAACTCTGAATATTTTAAAACTGATCATGTACTTCAGTGATTTTTAATCAGAGCTCTATTTATTTCTACCAAAAGAAAAGCGTTTAAAAAGCGGTGATAACCCACTGTAAAGATTTAAACACCTGAGTTGAGAGGCAGCTAGTACTTAGCGCGCAGTAGGTCATATTATGGTCATTTACTGTTATTACAGTGCTACATGACGAAATGTTGCAATAGCATATCAATGAAGGAATTTATTTATAATGAGTTAGTAATGCACCGCAGTACACTGCCGATGATTGATGACAGCACCGTACTCCCGTGAAAAGTGGAACATTCACACAGGAGGATCATTCACGGTGTACACGTCAGCTAGTGAGAAACATACGTCCAGGATCGCACACTCTGATGGTGCCCATGCTGATTGCGTAGACTTCATGACAATAGGGTAGCTTGCCCCTACGCGGGCGTGCCAAATTGTTTCACGCTAAGAAAATAGCACTTTTTACTACCCTGCCGACAGCAGCTCCCACTGCACCTTCTGATTCTCATCGGTAGGGAACCACTTTTTAAACTCCAATCCCTATTTACGTTTTTAAAGGAGGTTCATAAATTTCACTCTGTATTCTGAGGTGATCCATAGCACAAGCTCTGTACCGATGTCACGGCTGCGGTGACTACATCCTTACCGTGGCTTTACGAACACGAACTCTCGCCATTCACTTTAACTGCACGTATTTCACGTCACTGCATTACTTTAATATTCTATGTTTTTATCCGCGTTAGCGCGAGGAATTTCAAGGCCTCTATACAGTCACACATCATATCATTGTTCACATCTCTATACTCGGTGAAAACTTTCTGTGGCAACGAAGGGAAAGCTACGGGTGTGGAGCTACTTTTCCTGTACACCTCCACGACGTAGTCAGATTCAGCTCACGTTTCGAATGATCACCGTGTTCCGGCAATCCGATTGCACACAATTTGACACGTCTGCTTACATAGCTATTTGTGAGTGAAATTCGAAAAAAGCTCCCTCGGCGAGTCGCCGGAATAGCTGGAGGGCGGCGCGCCCTTAACTAAAAACAAAGATGCCATTTCGACTGTGAAGTGCACGTAAAACGTGCGAAGTTTTCAGTACGCGCAAAAACGCGAAACCACTCTTCGGAAAGCAACAACAGATATGAATACCTGCTCGGTGCATGCAGTGTCTTTTTAAACAGCTACTGGTAGGAAATAAGGATGTCCTTTTATTTATTTTCACGCGGAAAACACGGGCGCATTTGGGGCACTATATTCTACTGCGTTGGCACACGCCCACTTTGGCTCCGTAGCCTTCTTTCATTGCCACAGAAAATTGTACCCGAGTATCTGGGTTCTCTCTCTGTCACGACACTCAAGTCCCAGTTCTGGAGTCGAGACCTCTGGGCAAGCCGAAGGCGACTCAGATTACGTTCAGAGGAAAACGTATACCCCGGGAGGTTACTTACTGGAACTGTCTGTACGCTGTGATCCCGTATAGAGATTTAGTCGAGACCTGCTACTACTGCAGACGAGTTGGACATCGAGTGGACATTTGCTATCGTCCGAAGAGTAACCTATCTCGTCGTTGCGGGAAGGACCATCCTGCCCCACCAGATGGAAATCCACTGACGTACACGCCGGACTACATCGTGTGCCATGGTGCGCATCACACAGAGAGCCGTATCTGCAAGTTTCGCTTGGCTCGCAAGCCACTAACAGACCGGCAGCATAGCATCAAAATAGAGAGCCAAGCTGGCAACGATAAGTGATCCTCGAGGGCCACGGAGCGGTCATCGAGGGGTAAAGGAGGCAGAAGCAAAAGCAGAGACCGGTGGAGTTCCTTCACGGAGTGGTCCTCGAGGGCCACAGAGCGGTCATAGAGGGGTAAAGCAAAAGCAGGAGCAGTCGAGTTCCATCCTGCCATTGTCAGGGCGCGAGGGCGGTCAAGATGGCGGACGAGTATTCAGTCCCGACAGCCACGCACGCGACTCCAACAAAAAGGTGAGCTGGTCAAACGCGTGCTCCCAGAACGAAACTGCTCGAGAGAGAGGGAGTTAGCCGCGCTGGTTCAGTGGCAGTGCTCTTTGATTAAAACAATGGAAGACAGAATTGCAGAGATGGAACGCGTACTTAAAAGCGGCCAACGACAAGAGACACAGGCACCAGCAGTGCAAGGCCTACAGACGCCAGAGACGTTTGCTCACGTACACGAGAGCGCGGCTATGGAAGTGTAAAATAGGGGGACAGTGAAGAGACCACTGCCAGTCGATGAGAGAGCTAACGCATAAGGGCTAGCCAAAACGTCACCGGTAGACATGCCACAGCCGGTTTTTAAAGTAACTAGTCTTAAGGCGGATGTGGCTACTTTTGCGGATAAAGTAGACAAACAGGGGGGAGGACACGATAGGTTGGAAGCTCGAGTCGAAAAAATCGAAACCAGACTAGACACAATAGAGGAGCGTCTAGGCACGCTTGCCAGTCAGTTTAAGGCTTCCTAAACCCAGGTCATGGGCATGTTTCAGCAGCTTCATACTCTGTTAGAGGCAAGACGGCT